ATAGACACAACGTGTTTTAGTTACTTACAAGTGCTAATTACATATGGACTAATAACTTAAATTCAGTAGTGATTTTAATTGAATATTTTGGATATTTATTTAATTTTTCAAATTAAAACTGAACCTAATTGACTGTGTTAACTATCCTTTTCCAGTCCTTTTATTATTTTATTGTAATTATTAATTATTTGCATGCAATTAAAAATATTTTTAATGATGCTTAAGAAGTATAACTTCTCACGCGCGTACATAAGTTACACGCATCCATTTTTTTTATAATTATTTAAATTATAACTTTTTCTTTTGTTGACGATTGCCAGTAAAGGTTTTATTTCATTTCATTTACTTTAAATCAGATGAGGGTAATATCAACAATCGGCCATTAAAGTTTATGGGAAGACTGATGTTCCATCATTAAGGTGTGGTGATGAAAGTTATTATTATATATTTATGCTAAATATTTAAACTACCTAGTAATCTCACGGTGTTTTTTATCAGTAGGGCTACGAAATGAATTCGGTATGTTTTTTTTTCCAAAATGTAACATAGCATAAAAACGAATTAAAACTTTTGTGTCAATAGAAATAGAATTTTATTCCAATAAATACTATATACAACTTAGTTCTAAATGAGTTCAGCTATTTCAGCATTTCCCTGACGTATGAGTAGAAATGTTATTTTATCAGTAGTAAGACTGTTGTTGTAACTGTTTCGTTGTGATCATGACTAATGGCACGTCTCGTATAGCCGGTGTCGTTGCACCGGTGAAAGTAGTGAGTTTGTATTGACTTTGGTGGGGCCGAGGACAGGGAACAGGTTTTACGATATTATTAAATAAGAAAGAAGTAAAAGTTTATACACTTTTTATAGGTTGTCGGTAATTTAAATATAAATAGGAAAACATTAATGCATTTGAGTTAATTTTTATGCACGCCGAGCCGGCTTTCATTATACTACAAATGTCTCTTTTCTAAAGATTTTTTATAACACTATCTATGCTGTTACGTTGCAAACAACAATTTATAAATTACCTACAATTAGCTTATAATTGTTATAACATTTTTTTCCGTTTACTGATTTCTTTTAATTGGGAAAATTATGTTTAATAATACCGCGTCTCTCATAAAATTTCTCTTACCTAAAGGCCTTAGCAATATCTGAATATCATCAACATGTGAAAGTAGAACTATTGTCACCTCTTGAAGGCTTTCTTAATAAAACTTTCGAAATCTTAGTGGATATTCTCCTGTCTCAAAAAGGTCCTAGGTTCAATAGAGTCCATATTTATTTTTAGACATGTACGCTTGCATGACTTACTTATTGACAATATCGAAAGTAAAAGCTTTGCTTAGTTTGAGTCAGTAACAGTGATAATTGACCTGAGGTAAATTTGAGGAGGAGATCGATGGCACAGGTGGTTAGCGCGTTCAGTTTGCGATCATGGAAGTTGAGCAACTTTTGCAGTAACCAGTCATTGGATGGGTGACCAAAGATCTATTATCTCGCTGGGCCAGCGTAGTGGGTCATGGCCCATTTTTCCTATGTAATCTATAGGTCAGACCTGTGCCCATCAGGAGGACATTAAAAGGCAAATGTTAATTTGATTTAGAATCTGTGTGGTATTTTGTGAAACAATTTCCATGAAATAATAAGGTACTTACATTGCAGGGCAGCAAGAGAAAAAATGGCTACTGCAGCATGTGTAGATAATATGTAATAAATACATGAAGCGGTTTCAGAAATAACCGAAAGTTGAAAAAAGCGCATTTAGGTGGTTTCTGAAATAAACGATAAACGATTCTTTATATAAACTAAGAAATATACTTAATTTAAATAACAGCGAGAGAATAGCTTTCTTAATGTAGTTTACTCATAAGATGTACAGACGTACAGATCTAGGTTAATTGAGCAGTATCTTTAAATAACCACTTAAGTCTGGTTTCCATGCACTTCAAAATTATAGGTATACTTACTGGTTTCCGCCCGCGACTTTGCCCCCATTATAGTTTGTTTCTTGAGAATCCGTAAGTCAGTAAACTAAGCATTATACCGGAGTAAAAAGTATTCTATGTTTCTATCCAGGAAATGTGCGCCAAGTTTCGTTAAAAGACTGTTGAGGCGTTATCTGCGTGATAAAATAACAAACATACAAATACTTACTCACATGTCTAAAACGAGTAGATTTTGTTTCGAAACTACGGAGACTATAAAAAAGAATATTTTAAAAAATCAAAGAACCCGACTGCTTTATATTACTGCAAATAAAAACTGAAAAGAAAAAATACAAGTCAAGTAGTCTATAATTCTCTTAAGTCAGTGACAAAGCTACTTTAACATTCGGGACCCATTAAATATTCAAGAATGGATCATATTTTTCAAAAATCCCTGTCTGCGCGTCGCGCTTCGCGCTCTTGCATTGCGCAGTTGGGTAAAAATTATTTACAAAATCATTAACATGTTGAATTGGTTCTTGAAGTACCTACTAAGAGTCCCAGTTTATAATTCCATAAAATTTCCATTTAATTAATTATACCTTCGTATTGATCTTATTATTTAAGTTATCAAGATCCAAAGTTTAAATATTGACAGTAATTGTAGTTTTAAAATATACATACATTCGCTGCTGCCCGCGGCTTCGTATGCGCAGAATAACTAGCTCCAATTTCAAATTTTATTTTCTCAATAAGAGTAGCCTTCTTCTTCACTAAAATATCCTTTACCGTTGTATCAATATTTCTCAATTTGCTAAAAGTGATAAACTCTACAGATGGCAAATAGTTACTTTCGCATTTATAATAGGTATTAGCATGACTATAAATATTATATTTATGAATTTGAATTTAGGTTCTCTATTATTATTAACCATTTTTCAAGGTTCATTACCAATATTGTTGATGCAATGTCATATCTTTTAATATACTAAAATGATGTGCAGCAAGGCATTGCATTATGCTTCCGTTTTTGCTAAAGAACATTCAGTTTTCATTGGTTACCCTATAAGTGTTATCGTGTACTAATAATATCGGTGCTGTTTTAGTTATAAACTTAAATAATATTATAGCCGCATTCGTGGATTTCTTTATGCCAAATGGTTGACTGGCAGAGAATGCTTTTAGCGTTAAGTCTGCCTTTTGTCCATTTTTGTAATTGTGGCAATAAAGTTGAAATAAAATAATATAAACACGGGGTATTGTTTTTACAAGAAACGAGCAAACGTTGTTGAATATCGCCGAAACAATCTAGACGATAGCACTCTTTCATGAAAATGTTTGAGACATCAACTCCGTAATCGAAATTGGTTTGAAATCTGATAGGCACTCGGAGCTGTTCATTTTCCTGCAGTTGTGTATGTGATTAATTTAGTTCCTTCAAGTTTATTTTAATGTATTACGAAGCAGTACTTTTGTATACAACGTCATTCATAATATGTTAAGCAATAATTTCATAATATTTCATTCTTTTACTATTAGAATATTTTGCATGCAATTAATATGGCTAAATAGGTTTAATATTCTTAGCTTTTAACATATGCTTTATATGCAAACACCTTTTGTCAACCCTATTTAATGCAAATAAAAATTATTCTATTCTATTCTAATGATTTAGTAAAAAATATATGTATTTTTAATTAATAATACATTATTTATTAAGTGACATAAAATTAATGCCAATTACCTCTTGAGAAAACAAAAACTATAAATAAGATTTTTTGTGAGAAAAAATAGAGAGTAGAGTATCTAACCAATTCTTATGAGATTTTTTATATTTATTTTTACGGTACCTATTAGCGTTATTTCTTTTTAAACGAACCTATCAGTTGGTCAAAATAAATAATTCAATAAAAATTACCACAAGCATAAAGCTGATAAAGCAAATGATTCTAATCAAAAACCAAAATTCCTTTGTCAACGTAAACGTCATGTCAGCTTATCATTATACTTGTGTAATATTAGTAAGTAATAATGTGAAAGCATGTTGTTGCTGATATTATCAAATTAGTTACGTTATTTCAACAGAACATTGAGTTTATGGTCTTGCCAGGAATTAAGAAATAATTTCGGGAGTTTTTATCTCGGGGTTGTAAAATAGGGGTAAAAAGTAAAGTAGATATTTGTTGCATCCATTTGGTTATGTCCGCAAGTCGGAAGCCCAGTCCGTTCAAATATCGTCGGCATCAAATTTAATGCCTAGGCTGGGCCTATGCATCAAAGACCAGATGACTGCAACATATTGGCTGTTTAAGCATAGGAGCACTAGCACTAATCAGAAAATCTTTTCATTCTGCACTCAAACTCCCTTAGAGTTTGAGTGCAAAATGAAGTAAAACTTGTCCCAAACTGAAACGCTAAGCATGCCAGTGCATTTAGCAAATTTGAAAACAAACAAGCACTTAGTATATTTGTTTCTTAGGTTTTCACGCACATCACTCATTAAATAAAACAAGTTTCAACGGGTTAGATGCACTGATTTTATTTATTTAGTGACGTTTCGCATCCTTTGCAGGAATGCGTCGTCAGAATGACATTCTGAAACTTGTAATTTATTTTTTTTAAGCATGTAACTGCTTGATGTTTAAATCTAAAGAAAATATAACTAGAAAGAAATCCACGTGGACCAGGCAGCAGACGGGACTCGAACCCGCACCCTTCGCAATCTGGGCGAATGCCGGGACATTGTGGGTTACCTACAATGCGAAGATATGGCGCTGCTTTGCAGCTAAAGAATGGCTAGGGGAATTTCGACGCGGCCGTCAGGGCCGCGGTAGCATAATTGGTCAGTGCATTCGCCCGGATTGCGAAGGGTGCGGGTTCGAGTCCCGTCTGCTGCCTGGTCCGCGTGGAATTTTACTAGTTATATTTTCTTTAGATTCTGAAACTTGTTTTATTTAAATAAGTAGTAGTCAGGAAATCAACATATTAACTATGTAAACTATTCAAATAATTCAATTCGTGTAAACAAGCAAACTGCATGTTAAACAATGTCTTCATTTCTCTTTACAGATAGACGTGTGTCTTCAAAATGACATCGTCTTTACTTCTGGCGAGCACGATAGTTACTAATAATAGCAAACAAATAAATGATGATATGCCAAAAATCACCACAGCACGACAGTCGAGTGGGAAAAATAGAGACTATGAGTGAGTAAAGTTTCACTATATTTTAAAGAGAAGAGAGAAAGAGATTTTTTGTTGTTTATAAAGCATTAAAAAGGATACGGACATTTATATTGCGTACCTACAAATTTGTACGGAACGCTCGGTAGACAAGTCCGACTTGCACTTGTCCGGTGTTCTTGCTTGAAATACATTTATCTACTTTATGGTTTCGAAAAAAAGAGAAATTACATGTATTAAGGCTCCCTCCCCCATAGGTGCGTTATTATCAAGTACAAATTTTTAGGTACCCAATATAAACGGCCGTATCTTTTTTAACGTTAACTTAGAAGTTTGATTTTTTACACCATCGAGGAACCGTAGACCTGAGTAATTATGGTTTCAATTCGCTACCTCGGCGCGTTCCCCAAATTAAAGATCTTGACAGATAGACAGACGGGCAACAAAGTGATCCTTTGGGGGTTTCATTTTTCTGTTACGGAACCCTAAGTTTTTTTAAGAATTGTGGCCGTAAAACCATGTAAAATATTGGATTTGAGTGGAAATATCCTATGAAATAAATTTTGCAGCTTTGTTCTACGAAGTGCTTTGGTGAATTTTAGAACGTATGCAGAGGTATAATCTGAATAATTATTTTATAGTGACAATGTAAAAACAATTAAGAAATTGGAATTTTAAAAGAAAACTTTTATTTATAAAACAATATCTTTTTTATAATGTAGAATTATCTAAATTCCTATTTTAACTTACAAATAATTACAGTAATCACGCAAAGATGTAATGTTTTTGCGTCAGAGTAATTTAACCTCGAAAGGCAGCTCTCGTGTCGACCGAAATGAAAGTTTACTGACAGTCATTAGTAGTAAGCACTTATCTCTAGTTAAGTTAACTTCATTTATTTTTGCTTAAGGGGAACTCAGGTTAGATTAAGCAACTTTAGCAAAGGCCGGTCATTGAATGGGTGACCATAAACTTAATATCTCGAGCTCCTCCGTGCTAGGCACGTTAAGCCGTTGGTCCCGTAGCATCTACTAACCGCACTGCTGGGCCAGCGTGGTGGATCATCTGCCTATTCCATCCATGGGGAAGGCCTAGGGATGGAATACGAAGGCACGGTAATATTATAGACAATATTACCGTGATGAAGGCCCATATTGTCACAGCAGTGGGGATATTAAAACGCTGATGAATAAGTTTAACTTTACCAAAGTTTCATATAACGTACTAGTATAATGAGCTCCGTTTACATTCATGGTACCAATTAAAAGTTTTGTACCTTGTGTTTTTACCTAAGTTTTCTTGAATTCCAGATGGCAAATAGTATGGAGAAACGTCTTAGGCTTCATTTATCTTCATGCTGCTTTCGTCTATGCAATGTATTTAACAGTTACCGGCAGATTTAAAGTATACACATATATATTTGGTAAGATTTCCACTAGTCATATTTTTTGGTTTTTTATTTATTGCTATATGTACAGGTCAAATTATTTAGGACATATAATAAAGAAGTCGGCCATGTGCGTGTCGTGCCAGGCACAGTGTAGGGTTCTGTAAATATTTTAATGTGATTTTTGAATAGTTGTTTTCAAATTATATTTTTCAATGCAAGGTTGTACGCATTATAAACAAGCTATTACTTATCTAAGTAACTTTTAATGTATGTTCTATTAAAGATTTTTTAAAAAAATAAAGAAATTTTGTAATAACTAAGTTTAACGACTATAACTCTTAAACTAACAGATCTATGTTAACCGTTATAATTTTCCTTAAATTTCATGATTATAACGATTAAGATAAATCAGTTAATTTAAGAGTAATGGTCGTTCAACTCATGTATTAGAAATTTTCTTAACTTATGAAAATTCCTTAGAGAACACATTAAAAGTGACTTGAATGAAGTATTTTCTTGCTTATAACGTGTAAAACCATTGATCGAAAAACCAAATTAAAAAAAGACTATTTAATACCACAGTAAAATATCTACGGAACCCTACACACTGCGTGTAGTACGAAACGCACTTTCCGATCTTTCGCCTATGTTAAGATTTATTTGCATCTAAATACCCACTTAATTAACAAAACATAAGCTATGTTACACTGCTCAAACATTAACATAAGCACCTTTCAACTCAATCCATCAAGAAGTTTCGTAACAAAGTGGCTGTGATAAACTAACATAAATATAAATCATCTATAACTATGATAAACTAACATCCTTGGACGAAAAAAACACTATTCCCCTTATTTCGGGTTTCATGGTGTCGCCAATTTGAGAGGTCCCGGGTTCGAATCCCGGTGGGGACAGATGTGTGTGTGATGAATACGAGCATTTGCACTCCAGTCATGAATGTTTAATATGTATTTCTGTATAAATATACTTATATATGTACAGTACCTATATGTATTCTATCCGGTACCCTAGCATCCCATAACACAAGCCTTGCAATGCTTACTTTGGGGCTAGGCTAATTGGTGTGTGTTAGTTTTTTTTTATTCAATAAACAGAGACAAAACATGGTATAGTTAATCCAAGCATATTCTTCGTTTATTAATAAGAGGGTATTAGTCCAAGAAATTACCCAATGAGGGTTTTCTTTTTGGTTGTGTGATTACGGTTTTGTGGAGTTCTAAAATGACGATTTTGTTCGTCCTAATTTTAACACCTTTCTTCGTTAATTCTTCGTCTTTTTAAATAATATTAAGGCCCATAGATGAATGATTGGTCTCGCTTCACTCAACAGCGAGACCAATCATTCATCTATGATTAAGGCCCCTTTATATTAAACGTCAATTTGGAATTTTGTTATAATAATATTTTTGTTTTTTTTTAATTATAGCTTTGAGTTTCTCCATATTGTCGGCTATGGGTGTTACGGCGGGAGCGCACAGGCTGTGGGCACACCAAGCATATAAAGCGAAATGGCCATTGAGATTAGTATTGGCTATATTACAAACTATGGCTTTCCAGAATCATATTTACGAGTGGGTGCGAGACCACAGGTATGTTTTACTTCCATTAGTTTATTAGAAAAGAGAAGTTTTTCTTTAATCTTTCTTTTAAGAATTATTGCTCTTTGGTCACCCGTTCTTGCACTTTATGAAATTTCTGAATAATATTATCATTTAATGCTATTTATAGTATTAAATTTATATTATATAATATAATTTTTCGCATTTCTGATTAGGTTTAAATGCAAATTAAAAATATACGCTTACAGAGTACATCATAAATTCACGGAAACCGATGCGGACCCGCACAACGCCAAGCGCGGCTTCTTTTTCTCCCACATGGGTTGGTTGATGGTGAGAAAGCATAAGGATGTATTCGAGAAGGGCATCACCATTGATATGTCAGACTTGGAGAAAGACCCCATCGTTATGTTTCAGAAAAAGTGAGTTTTAATTTATATTGATGTCGGATATGATAAAATTATATTTAAAAAACGGCTGATGATTATCAGATAGTAAAACCATAGTAGTGCAACTGCACAATTGTTATCGAAGGCCGCGTTGTTTCATCTATAATTACATAGTAAATGTGTCAAAATTTGTCAAATGTTTTTTTTCTCCAGTATTTTAATTAGAGTCAAATTTTCCTTTCAATGAAACGACGCGAGCTAAGTGTCATTCTACAATGCAGGGTATGCTGTAACGTACTTAAATATGAGATTTTTATATGTAACATCTGTCTCATGAAATCATTACCTGAAATATGTCCTAATGCGAATAAAAGTCTACAAGTACCTACTTATAGATGCTTGCGCTTTTAGGGTAGCTATCACGCATTGCGTAGGTATCACATTGGAGACCATTGAAATGTTAGATACTGCAGTAACACAATAGTAGGACTTAAATAAAAGTGTTATTTGGCTACAGTATTATACAGGTTACTTGAAGAAGAAACCTGTTGAAGGAAGACTGTAGCCAAATAAAACTTCAGAATCTGAAAAGATGCCGCTACATACCGAGAGGAATATAACTTTGAATATCGATGCTTAGGTATATCATTATCATTATTCATTATTATATAATAAAACTAAGTTGATAAAATGTGCGTGCCGATAAAACTTAAAAAGTAGTACCGGCACGATAAAGGGACTTATACATATAGTGTGATAGCCCTTTATCCCCCCTCGAACAAGAAAGTTCTCGCTTTAACCTAAAGGGCGTGTTTTTAAAGAGATTAGGGCTTTTCCAACCCTTCGACTTGGAAATTAAGTGTAGTGGCGCCATCTGTTGTCGCGTATTTGAACTTGGATATTAAGTATAGTGGCGGCATCTGTTGTCGAGTATTTGAACTTGGAAATTAAGTGTAGTGGCGCCATCTGCTGTCGGGTATTTGAACTTCAAGAAGGTGTGAGAAAGTAGAATACCACTGATCTCTTCTGAATTGTCATTTCAATTTAAAAGATTGCAGTTTCCAATTAAATCAACCTTTACTTTTACAATTAACAAAGAGCAAGGGCAAACTTTAAAATATTGTGGCATCAACCTCAAAGAATCCTGCTTCTCTCACGGTCAGCTTGCTCAACAGTAGGAAATTTATATAGTATATCTGTACCCCGTACAATAAAATGAAAAATATTGTTTATAAACAAATAGTGTAAATATTGTGAAAATGTTTTCAATTTTGTTTTTACTTTTTACGTCATATTTTTTTTTTATATCAACTAGCACGTAATCTCATAGCAACTCCCGAGCGAAGCCGGGTATCATAGCTAGTTGTTTATTAAGATTTAGAAAACTCGATGTTAATGTAAACAAACAAGCACATTGTAACATTATCCGATTTATTGTAATAAAAACCAGTTTTAATTTTTATATGGTTTCAGAACATTTTTATTCGTGATGCCACTGTTATGTTTCGTGATACCGGCGTGGATTCCTTATTACTTCTGGAACGAGGACCCGTGGTCGTCGTGGTACATCGCCGCAATATGGCGATACACGTTGTCTCTCCACTTCACGTGGCTCGTCAACTCCGCTGCCCACATGTGGGGCAACAGGCCGTATGATAAGTAAGTATACTTTAGTAGTTTCTGAATAAAACTTGTTCAAGTATGGACATAGCTTCAGAAGAATTTATTTAAATAAAATCCACTAGTCTTCAATATTAACACTTCATTTAATGCACATAAATTACATAACCTCTAATCAGCGGTCTCAGCCGAGAATTAATTGAACCGTTTACAAACAAAAACCACTACTTAGGTCAACTGACCGTCTTATTAGAAGATTAATGTTACGTTATCGCCGTTTATTACTATGATAATTTAATAATAATAAAATAATGAATATTTAATAATATAATTCTAAGGACATTTACTTATAAAATACGATTATTGAATTTTAATCATACAATTTAATAGTAATATAGCAATCAAAATAATCACACGAGAAATTCATTACAAGTAATATCTAAGAAAAGACTCTGAGGCTTAAAATATAGGTATGTATATAAAAATAACAAAAGAAAGCCTGTGCGATTCTGTCCGGTTCTTATTTATCTAGCTAGGTACTTCTCATTTTTGCTTGGACAGGTTTCGATAGGGATTTTTTTTATATTGTAGGTAATGCTTATAGTAAATTATGGATTTACAATTTGATACTGAGAAAATTGGTGGTACAATTGAGTTTTTTTTTTGAAAAGAGTTTCTTCCTTCCCGTCGACGTTTATTTATTAGCCATTCTGTAGCGGCCTCTGGTTTCACTTGATGTTTCTCCTTGTTGATGACTTGTTAAGTCATTATGTATGATAATTCTACGCCAATTCATAGTGAATCCGTGTAGCTAAGGAATGTTATGTATGATTTCCACCAAACGGCACGCTTCGTTCAGATGGAAACGGATTTTGTGAATCTTTAAACGAAATGAAATCGTGTAGCCTGTATTTAAAGTCTATATAACAACAGCTTCACTGCCAGTCTCTCGCGATACGCATTCGGTCGGTGCCAAAGCATGCTTTTACGTGCGATTGGTCTATATTTAAGTATGTATTTGCTATTTCAGGTACATAGGCGCAACTGACAACAAAACTGTAGCAATATGTGCGTTCGGCGAGGGCTGGCACAACTACCACCACGTGTTCCCGTGGGACTACAAGGCGGCCGAGTTGGGCAACTACTCTACCAACATGTCGACGGGACTCATCGATCTTGCTGCTAAATGGGGTACCTACCTTCCTACAAAATTTTAATGTCATCAAGTTAATTTTCATAAGTGCCTTCTAGGTCTTAAATGTCAATTGATTAGGAACGAAGACGGAGTAAATGAAATTATATTTCGTCCGTCGTCAGGTAGATTATCAAAAAATTAAGGACACTTATTTTTTCTTTTGCCAACAATCATCTAAAGAATGACAAAAACAAAGTGCGTCAGATTTTGAGAGGGCGGGCTGGTGACGTCACTTCTAAGTTAAAATTGTACCAAGACATATCTTTGTAATATTTGAATTATGTGATTAGAAAAAAATAAAAGTCCAATGCGATAATCTACCCAATAAACGAAGAAAAAAAGTCATCTTGCAATCAATTTATGTGCTACTAGGTATAGGTAGTTTCGCTCAACGAAAACATAAGAAACATTGCATAATAAATATACGGCATGTAGTTATGCTGTAAATCTCCCACGGGAAATTAGAAAAAATAATTCTTATACCATATTTGGCATTAGTAGAGGTGATTTCCGAAATTTAAAGAGACGACGATGCTGACGTTCCCACTCATTGTTTCCGAAACTTTTTTCGTCGTCATAGATGAGTTTTAGATAAGTACTAAGGATAATTTCGACCGGTTGGTTCAACGGCAGCATTCCTGTATGAAATTTATAAAAGAAACAGGATCTGAATCCCAGTAAGCGAGGATATTAGTTGAGGAGAGAAAAATACATTAGTTTAAAAAAAAAAATATTCTACGTAAATTTTTTTAAAAAAATTAAATCGTCCTAAAACGAATATTTTTATTAACGATTTTTTTCTACTCGATCGATTCCTCAAAATTCTTGGTGAATCGAATCACCTGATTTTTTTTCCCCGCTGTGCGCTTTCTGGGAAAGACGGGACAGGCAAGTACTTTTTTTTCGGAGATTGAGAATTGTTGCTAAAGTTTGCGACACAGGTCGATAAATTTTACATGACTCTCTTGGGAGTGGCGTTACCCACATGATAAACTACTTTAGAAATCAAAATGTTTATTATAACATGTTGAATTGTTGCAAAAGTAAAACCGACATAATTGCAATTTACTGCTAAACTAACAATCTCACGTTATTTTTTCATAGAACTGATTTTGTAGAGGGCAAGCTAATGAACAACTTTGATTCAAAAAAATTTTCAAAATCCCCGTTTACAAGCAAAAAACTCAAAAAAACCGGTTTTTCTTTGTTTAAACAATTTTCCTGGCTACAAAACACGGGTTCTAGCGGGGACAAATGCAGGGCATATTCGTGGGGGTCTATACTATCTAGGAAAAAAATGGCTAAGCGCTGGTGTCTTAGAATAGGTCTCATGTTTATTCCGACTGGACTAAGTACAAATGCTCGTATTTATCACACAAACATCTGCCCCCAGCGGGATTCGAATTACCTCCCGAGTAACGACACCTTGAAACCCGGCGTGCATACCACTCGGCCGGAGGTCGTCAAAGTACATATTATTATAATGAGATGAAACATTTATACTCGAGCCATGGTTGTCTGTAGACACTCCTAATACACGTTATTTAGTTTCAATGGCTTAATTTGAAACTTAATAATTCTTGCGTATTGTCTTAAATTATTTTCTACTTTTCATTTGGGAAATATTAAAATGAAAATTATATATGAAAAAACAATTGAATATTTTATTGTTTTACGTTCTAATTCCAATATTAAAATTAAGAATCTTATCAGAAAACAAAATTACAGAAATGTCTTCTGTAACACAAAAAGCAATCTATTTTTCAAAGTGATCGCAAACCTTTTTTGATGTGTGTAGACTAGAACCTCGTACTGTATCACGCATGTTACGGTTACAGCTCGCTAATGAGTATTCGGCTTTAGAAGTGCGTAATAATAATAATAATTCTTGCGTATTGTCTTAAATTATTTTCTACTTTTTATTTGGTAAATATTAAAATGATCTTCAATAAAATTATAAAAGATCACCTTAAAATACAATTGGTAACTCAAAGGTCGCACCGACTAGTGGCCCTCGGGCTGCTCGCCGCTTTCCGAATGCACCACGCAATTACCTGCGTCGCGAGAGTTTGTAGACAACAAACCAACGCGGCGTTGGTCATTGTCGTGGATATAAAGCATTTTTTCTCCCCGTCATCGAAAAAAACCGGTTAGATTACCGATTGTCTAGTTATCTAAAGGTAAGGTTACCAATTGTAATCAATGGGGATCAATTACAATTTTTTGACGTGATAATGTCTTTTAAATCGATGAACACGGGTTGCACGCATGAAAAAGAGCGACGTCATGTCACGAGTCACGTTATGTGACGTTCGGCGTAAGGCCGTATACAGAAAGAAAGCTGGAAGCCGACCAGCGCTTGTCCATAGAAATGCTTGCGCCGGTTACTGGTAAGGATCAGCGCTGACAAGCGCTGGTCGGCTTCCAGCTTTCTTTCGCTTGTCAGCGCTGGTAACAGTTACATAAAGGATGCAGATTGAAGCCTAGTTGTGCATTAATTTCAAAGGGCGGTGCCAGCGCTGAACAGCGCGTATCGACGCTTGTCGGCGCTTGTCAGCGCTGGTCAGCTTCCGGCTTTCTTTCTGTATACGGCCTTAGTTCAATGTTCCGCAGTGTGCGTGAGGTGAGGTCGAGGGGTTCCTTTATTATAATCGGTATTAGTTTTATTGGTTAATGTGTTTATCTTATTTTCTTTATAGGTTTGGCTTACGATTTGAAGACGGTATCTGTAGAAATGATAAGGAAACGTGCAGCGAGAACTGGGGACGGATCGCATCCCTCATCACAGCGTGCCAAAGATTCTGATGACGACCATCACCATCCGGAAAACCCTGTGTGGGGCTGGGACGACAAAGACATGCCCGAAGAAGACAGACTATGCGCAGAAATACATAGAAAAGTTGAATAATTTCACGCTTATTCGGTTTGGTTCGTTAGTAACGTGCAAAAAAAGCTTTTGATGTGAAAATGTTGCGGAACGCAACGAAGCTGGTTTAAATTAATCCTTTGTGTAAAGAAATATGTCTGTACTAGTAAGCAATAAGGGTGGTTGTGCAGCTCTATTAGCAATTGGTGGCCGAAAATTTTATGTACTGACTGACGTAATGAGAAAATTCAGAGAAAAGCTTCTAAATTGTAGACAGCTATTAATAAGGAGTAGACTACAATAAAGTTATAACAAAACCAACGAAACAGTTATTAATTTTGCGGTGTAAACTTGTCTGGTATAAAATTGCTATCATTTAATATTTAGTACCATGACTTTAATGCGATTTCACTGCCTTCCTAATGCAACTCGAACTGCGTAATGTAAATCTTCATCATCAGCCTTTTACACACAACACTCTGGGGCATAGGCGTTCTCTATGGATATCACACGAAATGGACAGATGAATAGATGGAAGAGGATCATGGCCCAATGGCCTAATGCAGATTGGTAGATGCAAACTGCAGATGCAGCCGGGACCAACGGCCTTGGGCACCCATCCAATGACCGATAATTGTGGAAGTTGTTTAACTTTCACGATCGCAGGCCAAACGCACTAACCACATTTGCCATCGAGCCCGTCAAATAAATAACTCTTTAGCTTTATCTTTCCCATGTAACATTCATAATTAAGTAACAAAAACTTGCACTTTGTTTTGACTTGATGTGTTGCTTAATATTATATTTGTATTCATTTATTCATCATAAATTGGTGGCTATTTAGACGACTGACTCCGCATCAGTAGATAAACAACAAATAACAGTATATACATAATAAAAATGAATCCAACATGCCCCTGGAACCTGCTAGTTGGACTGCCTGTGTAGCAAGTTTAATAATAACTAAATTAAAATAATATTAAATACTGGATTATTTGTACTAGTTTCCAGCGCCGATCTAAAAGGGAAGGAAAATCATCATGCAGACACCATCCCCGTTATTAATAAACGAGGAATAAGTTTAGACTAGCTACACCGTGTTTTGTTCCTATCACTCAAATGCCATTTGTTATTCAATGAACACAGACAAAACATGGAGTTACTAATCCAAGCTTATTCTCTGTTAATTAATAAAGGGGTATAAGTTTTCAAAGTCAAGTTTAGGTAGCCTGTCACTTTTGATTTGAATTTGATCCTAAAATATTGTCATTGTTATTTGGTATCATTGAGGTGTGAATATATTTAAATGAAATAAAATTATAGTTTATTCAAATTGGCTCATAGAAAGTTCTTTTGAATCGTCTAGTATTTTTGTCCTACCTTTCCTGTTGTTTTAACTATAACTGATGTTTTGCTATCTTAGCAAGGTGATGTGGCTTTAAACTTTGTATGTACAAAATAATTTGTTTGAATTTGCGTATATTTGAAATAGAAGTAAGAAAACCAATATAAACCCACAGATATACGTGTCCACCCAGGGTGTCTACTGCTCAGTTCAGTTCAGTAATAAATATTTAAAACTAAAAACTGACGAAATTAACATAAGCATGACGTTTACATAAATTCAAAGATTACAATAATTAGCAATGAAAATAGTTTTCATATTTATTATTATTTATTTATTGTTTTGTTTTTTTTATTAGGAGCCTATAACAAATTAATTATGAACTAATTATTGCTCAAATATCAGCCGAAATCTTATTTAAAGAAAAAATGAGATATTTCTTGTTGAAACTTAATAGCACAATATTTATTGACTGACACATTATAGGCCCTTAATGAAAATTATTGTTATATAAGTTAAAAGACTTGATAATAATATGTAATAGATATAATGGAACAAAAGTAGCGATAGATTAAGTAAATAAAGAATTTTGACAATTATTGCGTTAAATAATTCATTAAACGACTATATTTTGATTTATTTCATAATAATTAAATGCTGTCCAATCTAAGCCAAAAAACACTAACTATATAAGCACTAATTATTCGTTCTAAGTACACAAAAAAAAAATTGTAAAAAAAATATGTGTGGCTCATGAGTTATTTATTTTAAAAACACTAAAATTAACATAATAAACCACGTGTTTCAGAGTATTTTTTAAAGATTCAACGCCTAGGAGAAATAAATATAAGGGTTGAGAGATTGAGAATTTGACTCACTCACTCATCATATAGAGGCGTATTTCAGTTCCATCATTAACAATAAAAAATAAACGTGGGTGTCATGAAACACTCGGTTGGAAAGAAGTTAAAAGTAAACCTAAGACGTATAAGTGGAATGCAATATGCTACGAAACAACTGACGTTTGTGACGGAAAAATCTGACACTTATTTCGCCCAGCCCTAGCTACCATCCCCCAAGTCCGTACCTTCCGAAAAGGAACTTCGTCCCAAAAAAACCGACCAAATGCGAGTCGGACTAGCGCACCGCACCGATGTGAGTCGTCAATCATCGTCATCATCATCAGTGGCACTCTCTCTCCGTCCAAAGTGATATGTGCCCCAGCCTGCTATTTACCACCCGGACCATTAAAGATGGTTGCTTCTATTTTGGACACCACTACACTAAGACCCAGCAACCTTCTCCTTCCCACTACTAATGAGATTACTAGCGTGGCTAGTATCTTTGCTTTTCTATAGTCGCTACTTCTAGCAGTGACCAACGTATCATCTGCGTAACATAACACATTCGTTTTAGGTAGTTCCACACCACAGCCAACCCAATCGTATCCAATACTCCACAGGAGTAATGAACAAGAAACCGACCCCTGTGTAACACCGCATACCATAGGACGCGACACCATAACCCCCGGCCTTATTTATGTATAGCACTTGTCGTGATGGCGCAACGGCGCAATGCTCCCCCTGATGTTCCAAATTCTCAAACAGGATTTTCCTCCCTGGGACCTCAACTGGACCTGGTGCTTTCTTCTTGATTCGGAGAATATTAGTAGCGTGCTCGAGTCCTTACACTGTGAAAAATTGAATCTCTGAGCTCTGTTATATCTCTGGCGTCAAGAAAGACACCAACAAGGAAGGGATTACAGGAGACATCGTGGGAAACAGCGCCGATACCGTGTGCTGAAGGATCATACGATAGGGTCACCATAATGATTGGATCCCTATATAATTCCTCGAGATACGCGTCCTATACCTTGGCTTTTGCTCTACATATGTCATTTCTTAGAGTGTTCTTAGCTTTTTTATACATCAGAGAAGAGGAGAGTTGCCCCTTCCTCTCCTACTATCCTTGTTCCTCTGTGCCTATATCTTCGCAAAGCTCGCCTTGCCCTAAGACCGGCGTCCCTGATGGTTATATATCTCCCTGCATGGTGTGTGGATTATTTGATAATTCATGTGTAGGGGAGACCTTGATTCGAATGTACTGATGATTTGACTGGTTCTCTATTTTCTCTACTCTCTCTCTCTAGCCCTGCAAACGCGTTGCGATCGCCGATGCCTTACACATGTATGCGTGCTACTATTTGCAATTTCAAGCCACTACATAGTCGCTTATTCAAAAACTGCTTCCCTTTCTTGACTTTCGTTTTTGTGGAACCGCAAGCCATAATATGTTTGGCATTGAAGTGACCCAAAACATTATTATTCAGCAATAATTTCAGTTCAACATTTGAATTTGTCTCTATACTAGTAAAACCAACTAAAATTTTCATTTCCTTTTTATTATTATTTGTTTTGTGCTGCTTTTACAGATGTAACAAAACATGCACAGATATTTATATTATAATGGGCCAAGATAAAGAATAGAAAGCTAAAACTTCACTGGAGCTTTATTTTATAAAATATTAACATTTTAGTGTTAATATACAGGGAAAAACAAACCACAACAACAAACAAAAACAACTAAACTCAATAAAATTGCATTTTTATGTCATTATTAGGGACTTTAGGAAAATAAAATTTACTGTTTTTAAAAGACAAATAGTTGTTTTATACAATAATATTTAACGAAAGTTACAAATACGATATTTAACAAAAGATTTTCTTTGTCAAACCTTTGAAATGCAATATCTCATTTTAATTTTCTATCATCTCGAAATTTCATCTAATTTGAACATTAACTTGGGTTTTCCATTAACATGGCGCTATGTCTATGACAAAATTAAATATAATCGACTCAATGGTTTAGTCGTCAAAGCTTAATAAACAAACTCACTTTCGCATTTATAATATTAGTTACGATTACTATTAAGGAAGATTTTGTACCAATCAGAACTATGATGACATTTGTTTCGGAACATGACAAAAATGATTTTTGATATAAAGAACTATATAAAGGAGATTGCTCAGCTTCCATACATGTTTGGCCTAAAGACCAATAATCATGAAAAATTGTTTCCTAGATTCGAAATTATATATAAATTACTGTAGTAACGAATATTATTGACGGACACCCCTGAGAACTTCTATAAACCATATACTCTGAACATATTAAAATAATAAAAAACAAATAAGTTATATAGTAAACTAGGGAAATCAAGCCAAGTACCGAAATTATGGATTAGATTCAGGTATATAGAGCATGTATATAACAGATAGTTGCCTGTTTTTAAAGTTAATGCATAAGAGTAACTTCTAAAATCAGGTGTCATTTCCGGTTATAATAAGGTACTCTGTGACAGAAACTGTCTGATGATTGTGAGTGAGCCACAGATTAGAGAGAATTTTTAAACTCTCGTTAACCAAACAAAGCTAAGAGATTTAGGTTCTACAGCCATATATTCAGTAGCTTCATTATTTTTGTTATGTTTTTAAGATAACCATATTTTAGATTTTTAGTGTATCACACCTTATAATTTTATTTATTTATTAATTTATAGTCAGGGAACGTAGGCCCATAGATAGATACCTTAAAGTCAAACATATTATATACAGATTATAATGTGTTTATGGAGGTGTTTGGCGAAAAATGTATGGCAATAGACTTTATGATGTCGCTTATCATTTATAATAATTGTCTGAGCACATTTGCATCTAGTGAAAATCATAATATAGTTGTGGATATTAATACCACAGTGTAATAAAAAAAATGATTTATTTTATCGATCTTTACAAAATAGATTTGTTTTTATGTTATATAAACAACTTCGATCAGTCTTTGGTTGAATGTTACTACACCCATAGCCATTAAAAATGATTCGTAGGTTATCCAAACCGGTAAAATTAAAAGTCCTTTTTAAAGTAAATATATTATACAAAGGTGTCCGTTGAAATCTAATGACTGTAAATTAAATTATAAATTACGCCAGGAATTACCGTGTATGTCAATATTTTTTGTGCATTTAGGCCAATTTGAGCAATCTCCTAAACCAAGGTAGTTACATAGGTAGGATTTTTATCTATAGAGCCCCACAGTTGCGACATCCATGCGTGTTGCTTCAAGTTTTCACTAGATATTCTACTAAATAAACTTTGGAATTTCAAAATTAACATCAATCCTCTTAAAGAATAAATACATACATTAAAAACAGAACTAACCTAATATTAGCCTAAAGAAAATAAATAATGATTATTAGATACGTAAAAGACTAGACCTAGGGGTAAGTACAATCACTTTTCTATATTTAAAATAGTTTTTGGTCTGATGTTCTCCTTGCCGTGCCTTTTTCTTGCATACGTTACAATTTTATTGTTTTTATTTCCATAATATTGATTAATCCAATCTGAATTCAAAACTGCAACAGGTGTCTCTTGGACTGCTGAATAATCAACTGCATTGGCATTTTCAGGTACAATTATGTTATGAACTTGCGTACTTTCGTAGCCTTGTAGATTATCATGATTGTTTTGATTTTCATATTCATCTACGAAAATATCTTCCTCGGGGTAATGTGTTTCGAGTTGATAATGAGCCGGCTCGTCGTTTCTGTAGCCTTTATTCACATAAATAACTTTCTTATCGTATCTGTCATTAAAGGCATTGTTCCTCAACAATGTAAATACTGCTCCCGATAAAGCCATATTGTTGAGCATACCGACAGCTAAGGTCATCATTTTTAGTGCAGGCAAGACAAATGGCAAGACAGCGGACATGAGGAGTCCCGGCAATAGTAAGTAAGGCACTATATTGTAAAAAGTATTCTTCATTCCTCTTGATAAGGCGGGTTGTTGACCTGAAAATCAGCAAAATATAAAGTTAAAAACTACTAAAGTTTAGGAACTACATAACTTAAACGAATCTCTAAAGCTGGAATAGGACGAGCAGGGAACAGTAAATAATGGGAATAAAATAAAAACATAGGAAACGCCATGTGCTAACTTTCCCGCTCGCTATATACTACTATAGTTAGATTTGTAGGTATAAAAATACTAATAATCTTGTATGTTATACTTTTTTTCCGGGTTATAAGCACTAGATCTTCGCTGTCATTAGCAACCACTAACCCCACACACGGCTTGTCTAGCTTGTTTGCAAACAAAGGCCTGTGCCCCAGCAGTTGGGAAAAGGCTGATGAGCTGAAGGCTTCGCAGTAAGTAAGTAAGGCACTATATTGTAGAAAGTATTCTTCATTCCTCTTGAAAAGGCGGGTTGTAAATACGCCTGGAATACGTTGAATCAAAACTATTAATTTATCCCGTACAATCATGATAAATATTAGTAGCTATCGGCCAACAATTTAAATACACCTATTATTGCCTAATGGGTAAGTGGACAATTGTAGTCTGTTAGAAAAACTAATAAATTGATAAAATATTATTTTCTTGTAATAGACGTTTATTTACTTAAAGATGACAATAAAAAGTAAAAAAATATTCAAAAACAAAGTAAGACGTACAAAATCAGCCAATTTCGGCAACATATAAAGTTTTTTTTATAGCGGTTTTTAAAACAATCTCGTCATAAATAATTAGTGGTTCCTTATGATTTTATGTACTCTGATTTT